AGAGATTATCGTGTGCACAAAGCAGCGATTAGGGTTTGTGAAAGGCGTAGCGTTTCACAAACCGATACAAAAGATTATATACTACTATACTAGACAATCCCTACAAACCAGGGATATGCCAGCTAACAAATTTAAGCTAACTATGGAAACACGATAAGTATAAAATCTGTTACAATGCACTGACTAAACTAAACAAGCTGAGCTGCTGACACGCTGATGCTGACACTGAGATCTATTTGAAACATCATCATATTTCAAGGTTTGACCTTACAATACCCCCCAATATGATGATGTTCAAAACCAACTAAATTAAAACACCTCTGGACAAGAACTCTTCATACTCAGCTTCAGCTTCTATTTTTACTGGCCAGTAAGGACTATCCAGCAACTCTTGTCTTCTATTCAGCAGCTCCATGGCGATAAGGATATGAAACTCTCCGGAGAGATCTTGATGACTCATGCACATTTGCCTTAAGCCAACGAGATGAGTGGGGAGCCTTTGGGATCTCAGCAGTTCGCTGAAAACACATCTTTCTGTTTTTATCGAGATAGAACATCCCGTGTTCAGGAACTGAGATAAACTTATGTTGAACTGGGTCAACACTGATAGGAAGAGAATTGTTTATCCCACCAGCACCAAAGTCTAGAACCAACACGTCTTCACAATCAACTTGAAATTTTGTTCTTCGAGTTCTAGGAACAGATGACCTTTGGCCTTGATGTGAGGTCGTTCTTTAGGAACAAGGTCCAAACGCTGAACTTTCTTGATCAGCAGATGAAGAGCACATGTCAGTTCAGAGGAGTGAGCTGAGGTTTGCTTGGACGCTAATTTGAGCAATTCCATCCATTTAGAATATCCATATTTGATCAGCTCATCCCTCTTGACAACTTCAGTGTATGAATGTTGTGGACCTTGACGAGTGATCAGTAACTTAAGAATTTTCTCATTGCGTGGTTTGGAAGCTTTAACTTTGATGATCTTATCACCACACACTCGTCGTTTAAGAACATCTTCAAACCTCTTTCGATCAATCCTGTCTAGAACACTGTCAGTCTTCGGCTTACTGCTGCTAGGAGGAGGCTGAGAAGATTGAGATTTGGACTGAAATTCCAAGAATTTCTGCATCTGAGCTTCAAAAGATCCTTTGGCCTGAAGTTTATGTTGAATGAGAGATTCATCAGCTTGAGCAATGTTCTTTAGAAGCTGAGCTTGATTAGCTTCATCAAGAATTTGCTTAACTTGATCGGAAGACATATTCCATTCAGCCGCCAAATTTGATATACTGACTATGGACTTGAGCTTCTTGCAAGACAAAGAAGTATCAGTGTGTGAATGAGCCAAGTCAGTATCTGCTACCTTTCGCTTGCGAGATAACGGATGAGAATCTTCACTAGCAACGTCTGAATCTTCTCCTTGGACCGGAATAATGGGATCAACAGTGGGATCAACGACTTTTATGTATGGCCTTTGCGATTCATTATCAAGATCATCTGAATCTTCTTCTTGAATTGGAATAAAGGGATCAATGAAGTTCATATCCAGTATTTGACATTCATCATCTTGTTCATCATCATGCTCACTGTCTTCAACACGCTTTTCAGTATCTGCAGGACTATTAGGCTTCACAAAGTCAGACTCGGGCATCTGCTTTGGTGGCTCAGTTTGAACTAAGGAGTTATCAGCATGTTCGGTGTCTTTCTCTTTTGGATTTTCATCATCATTATCACGATCAGCATTATCATCATCAGCAGCATCATCATCATCATCATCAGTATCAGCATCTCCCCCTTTTTGAGCATCATCAGATTGAGGGCTGGAGGAAGGAGTATGCAAGAGAACTTCCTTAAGCTGATGAACATCAGCCTCAATGTGTAGAAGACGCTGACTCATGTCCCGAGTCAGTGTCAGAAGTTCATTAAATGCTGAGGCCGGAATTTGAACGAATAAAGCACCTGGAGCTGCGTGTGAGTGTGGTGGCATCCCTGGAGAAGAGTGGTCTCCTTGGGGTGGATTCTCCCCCTGTGAGGGATGCTCCCCCTGAGATTGTTGCTCCCCCTGAAATTGTTGCTCCCCCGGAATCAGTGAATCCTTTTGAGCTGAGTGAACTTTCTCAGTAACAGAGACGATATGATGAGAAAGTTGAGGGGAGAAATGACCAACATCATATGCTTCATCCTCTTGACCAGCAGGATCTTCATTGTTACCATCAGCTCCTCCTTCATCAATATCAGCGGTGAGTGAAGGAACAGTGTATGGGTTTGCAATCCATTCCCGCATCCTGTCAGATATTCCGATGTCAGTAACCAGCAGATCATCTTGATACATTCGAATTGACATGCGAGGGCATTGAATAGGATTTCCATAGTGCGAGAAGTAATCTACAGCAAAGAATTTATCGAGCACGAGAGCAATCCAGCGTGGGAAGGGAACGTGATCAGCGCGTACATTTGCATGAAGAAGCTGAACAAGTTGATCAAAGAAAAAGGACCCATAGTCAAGTCTTTTGTTGAGAAGCAGTGAGCAGACGATTTGTTGCTCATAGGTGCTCAGTTGATCACCACTTCGAGACTTATGACCCACACATTTGCACAAAGCACCAGTGAAGAACTTCCATCCTGGGGTCATACATTGGCGCAGAACAAGAGCTGATTGAGCACCAGCCTTTGAGTGATCATATCCCAGTTGATCGAATAGACGTCGACAACGGTCAATAGAAGGAAGTTCAGAGAATGGTTCAAAGATAGGTAACCTGAGTGCAGCACTGAGAAGTTCTACTGTAATAAAGACAGAGTGTCTTCCACGACCAATGGTCCCGGTGATGACATTGTTTTCATCATTGACTGTTGCGGTGTAGTAGAACTCACAGACTTGTTCAGGGAAGAACTCTGATGGAATGTCACTGATAGCATATCGTAGGCGGCAGGAGGCTAAGAAATTAACAAAATCACCGAGTCCAAGACCTCGATGAACATCGGGAATATCAGGGTTGAAAACAATGTTGGTGGCTTTGATGTATATAGGAAGAGGAGGAGAGTTTGGGGCAGGAACTACCCTTCGTGAAGTAGAGGAGAAAGTGAACAGAGATGCCGCCATTAGAGAGTTTTTTTAGGGTGCTAGGGTTTTGAATATAAGTGAAGGAAGTGTAGATTGTGGAAGGAAAGTTTGAAATAAGGGCGAAAGAGGTTTAAATATGGAATGAAACGGATCTTTTAGAAAAGGTAATGATTATCTTCTTCAAAAATAACGACGTATCGTAACAACCTGTCAATCAAAAAATAGCCGTTGAGTAAAAGAGTCGTTGACTGAAGATGAAACGTCAATCAGTGTTTGCGGAAGCGCTAAGATCAGTGTCACAAAAGTTACATGCTGAGGATATCTCTCCGTCAATTCAAGGTACAACTTGCTCGGTTGGGGCTAGCAAGGAGATTGGTGCGTGTGATAGATACTAGTTGCATTATCTAACAGAGTGTTGTGTCTTTATCAGTGAGAGGTTTATCTTACTGAATCATTAGACACTGAATGAGAAGAAGGTAAAGGAAGGATAGTTGCGTGTGATAAACCTTGGTGTTTTGGTCTAACCATCGGCAAAGATTTTTAGATTCTCATCAGTGTGTGTTTTGTCACACTGAATCACGGAATCAGTGTAAGATTGGTAAGAAGAGATAGTTATGTGTGATAGATCTTGGTGTTTTGATCTAACCATCGGCAAAGATTTTTAGATTCTCATCAGTGTGTGTTTTGTCACACTGAATCACGGAATCAGTGTAAGATTGGTAAGAAGAGATAGTTGCGTGTGATAGATCTTGGTGTTTTGATCTTACCATCGGCAAAGATTTTTAGATTCTCATCAGTGTGTGTTTTGTCACACTGAATCATGGAATCAGTGTAAGATTGGTAAGAAGAGATAGTTGCGTGTGATAGATCTTGGTGTTTCGATCTAACCATCGGCAAAGAGTTTCAAGTTGTTATCAGTGTATGGTTTAATACAGTGAATCATTCAACTTTAGTTAAGAAGAGTTGAAGAAGAGAGAAAGATAGGAGATCAAACCACGTACTTAGTATGCAAATATCATCAGCATGTCATCATCAGCAAAATGGACATCAGCTTATAAGACAATACCAAACATTAGCAAAATTAATTACAAGGTAATCATTCCAAGTTCTCCAATAATGTAAGCAGTTGTTTGAGAATCCAGTGCCTTAGTGAAGATATCAGCAAGTTGCTCTGAAGTCTTGACATGTTCAAGAGCAATCTTTCCTTTCTCAACGTTATCTCTGATGAAATGATGTCTGATTTCGATATGCTTCGTTTTTGAGTGTTGAATAGGGTTTTGTGTGATTTGAATGGCACTGGTGTTATCACAATATATGGGAGTCTTTGAGAACTTGATCCCATAGTCGAGAAGCTGATTTTGAATCCATGAGAGCTGAGCACAACATCTCCCAGCTGCAACATACTCAGCTTCTGCAGTCAAGATGGCTACTGATGTTTGCTTCTTGCTAGACCAGCTGATGAGACGATTTCCAAGGAAGTGACATCCACCAGACGTACTTTTTTTTTGTCTAAGTTGCATCCTGCATAGTCTGAATCAGTGTATCCAAAGATTTCGAATGCTGAGTTGCGAGGATACCACAGTGCCAGATTTTGAGTTCATTTTAAATATCGAAAGATACGTTTGACGGCCATGAGATGGGATTCCTTGGGATTAGCTTGGAATCGAGCACAGAGAATGGTTCCAAACATGATGTCAGGATGAATTTCCATTAGATATAAAAGAGATCCAATCATTCCTCGATACAGAGAGTGATTGACATCAGTTCCAGTTGGATCATCGTGAATCTTGTCAGTCTTAGAAACTAGAGTAGAGGCTGGTTTGCAGTCACTGAGATAATACTTAACAAGCAAGTCAGAAATATATTTACTTTGACAAATAGAAATACCTGACTTTTGTTGTTGAACTTCAAGACCTAAGAAAAAGGTCATCTTTCCCATCATGCTCATTTCGAACCTTTGAGACATTATCTCTGCAAATTCCTTGCTCAGTGTCTCATTTGGAGAGCCAAAAATGATGTCATCGACATAGATTTGAACAAGAACCATGTCTAAGCCTTTGTTTTTGATGAAGAGAGTATTGTTGATTGCTCCTCGTCTGTATCCATTTTCAAGAAGATACGATGTCAGCGTCTCATACCAAGCCCTGGGTGCTTGCTTCAGTCCATAAACAGCTTTGTCTAATCAGTACACATAATCAGGGTGATCTTTGTCAACAAATCCTGGGGGCTGATTGAGGAAAACTTCTTCTTCTAACACACCATGAAGAAAGGCTGTTTTCACATCCATCTGATAGACAATGAAATTCATGTAGGATGCGTATGCGAGAAACAGTCTGATCGCTTCAATGCGAGCAACTGAGCAAAGGTTTCTCCGTAGTCGATGGATTCAATTTGAGTAAACCCTTGAGCGACAAGCCTTGCCTTGTTTCGAGTAATGATTCCATCTTTATCAACCTTGTTGCGATAGACCCAGCGAGTTCCGGTGATGGTCTTTCTTGATGGTCTTGGGACAAGAGTCCAAACTTTGTGCCTTTCAAACTCATTCAGTTCTTCTTGCATGGCTTTAATCCAGTCAGCATCTTGAAGAGCTGTGTGTATCTTGTCAGGTAAGATCATTGAAACGAAATTAACATACATGCAAAAGTTATTAGAAACACGAGATTTGGTTCGGACACCATCATGAATATTCCCAATAATTTGATCAACAGGATGATATCGATGTTCAGAGACTGATGATGATTCCGGAGAATTTGACACTGACAAGTTATCAGTTGTAGGAGAATCTTCAGCTTCAAGAGTTTCATCAGCACCTGATGAATTATTTGATGATCTGGCTGCAGTATCTTGATTCAAGGACCATGGAACTGGAACGATAGAATCAGAAATATCAGCTTCATCTCCAGCAAGAGGAGCTTCGTTAAATGGGCAAGAGAGAAGCTCTTGAAAAATAGAGGAAGAATGAGTGACTCTTTCATCAGCGTATGATTCCTCATCAAACTTCACATGAATTGATTCTTCAATGCATTGCCTGTTCATATGAAAAACACGAAAAGCCTTTGAAATAGATGAGTATCCAACAAAAATACCTTTATCATCTTTAGGTTCAAATTTAGATCTTGGGTCACGCTGATTTAGAATATAACAAATACATCCGAACACGTGAAAGAAGGATACGTCTGGCTTTCGACTTTTCAGCATTTCATATGGTGTTTTCTTATGAATCCTGTGAATTAAAGATCGATTTTGAGTAAAGCACGCTGTATTGACAGCTTCAGCCCAAAATGACATGGGAAGACCAGCATGAATCATTAGGGTCCTTCCTGCTTCAATCAGTGTTCTATTTCTTCGTTCAACAACTCCATTTTGTTGAGGAGTATGAGGAGCTGAGAAGTTTTTCCCAATGCCTTTATGATCACAAAATTCTTCAAGAGTTGAGTTTCGGAACTCGTACCATGATCACTTCTCAGTTGTTTAACTTTGAGACCTGTCAGTGTCTCATTTTTGCGAATCAGTGAGATAATTTCCTGTGCAGCATGACTTTTCTTCTTCAGGAAGACCACCCATGTAAATCGAGTGAACTAATCCACAACCACTAGAGTATACTTATTTCCACCTAGAGAACGGACAGGAATAGGTCCAAATAAGTCCATGTGGAGTAAATGAAGAGGGACTGATATACTGGAACATGACTTGGGTTTGAAAGAGGACTTGGTTTGTTTTCCTTGTTCACAAGCTGAGCACATCTTGTCTTTCACAACGCTGAATTTTGGGAGCCCTCTAACTAGATCTTGATTGGATATTTTGTATAGGTTCTTGAAGTTCAGATGAGAGAACCTTTTGTGCCAACTCCAGCTAAGATTGGTCTGAGACTTTGTAAAGAAGCATTGCATCAGCGCCTTGTCACTTGAGAACATATCAAGAACATATATATCATCTTTTCTACTTGCTGAAAGTACAATGTTCTTGTTAGTGTTCACAACTCTACCTTCCTTCTTTGTAAAGTGAACTTCATAGTCAGCATCACACAATTGACTGATGGAGATAAGGTTGTGTTTGAGACCCTTTACATATGAAACATTTTGAAAAAACACGTAATTGCATTTGATATTTCCATATCCTTTAGTGAACCCCTTTCCATTGTCTCCATAAGTTACTGCAGGACCAGTTTTCTTGACATAATCTTGCAGGAGAGACTTTGATCCTGTCATATGTCTTGAGCAACCACTATCTAAGTACCAAAGATGCTCCTAACCCTGCAGTGCTGAGAAACTAGTTAGAACATACTGACCCATTCGAGGATGGGTCATTCACAAAGTTATTTGATAATAGATTATAACACTCCTTAGGAAGACAGTTTAAAGAATTTGACTTAAGAGTCCATTTTTCATTTCTAACTTTAATATTATCAGCTCTTAAATATGATTTATCAAATGAACATTCACTAATCTTATGAGAGGTATCACCACATCTGTAACAAACTCTAGTACCAAAGTTCCTCTTGGTAGGCAATTTTTTGGACTTAACACTTTTCGACTTGTAAGATTCACCAAGAGAGCTTTGTGTCCTTTTGTTTATTATTGAATCACAACAGAATTCAGTGTCAGACAAACTATGATCAGTGATAGACGATGAGCTATCATCAGTGTCTGATTTGGACTTATTCACAATTGCATTGCAATCAGGAAAATGCTTAAGTTGTTCATGAACAGCATGAAACACTCCATTTGAGATAGGAAAAGCAATAATATTCTCAGTGAGAGGAGTTGGTCTTACAAGATGTGCAGGGTAAGAGGTTGGGTCAACTCCGGTAATTTCAACATTACACTTAGTAACACCATTAGAGTTAGTAACACAGTATTCATCAATTAAACTCTGATTAATAAAAGAGTTACTGACAAACTTATTTTTGAAATTGTTTTTCATCTCATTCATGGAATGAAATTCAGATTCCTTTTCTTGTGATTTAAAAACTTTTTCAGCTTCTGCAAAATTACCCCCAAGAATTTTCTCACATGAGTGTGGAACTTGAGTAGAAATAA